GTGTTCAGCGTCTACGGTTTAGGGTTTAGCGTTTCAGATTCAGCGTTTATTCTGCAGAGTCTAGTGTTGGGGTGTTTAGGTTTAAGGTTAAGGATTCAGGGCTCACGGCATAGGGATTACAGGGTTTAGAGCTAACGGTTTGATGCTTCCGCGCAGCTAACCAGGGCCTTTTCCCCATGTAAGTCGTCTTGACTTAAACCACAGTCGTGCTGATTCTTGCCCTGGCCTAGAGATACGGTGTATATATATGTATATATATATATATATATATATATATATATATATATATATATATATATATATATATATATAATATATCAAATATTTATACTACATATCTATAATTGCAGCATGATCTGCCTGTACTGGCCGCAGGAGCCTTCACTTAGCCTAGGTAAATTGCGTGTAAGCAAATGCAACCGTTCCATGAGTGGTTTTAGTGGTAGCGCATGCAACTAAGGAAGCTTCGCTGAAGCTTCCTTGTGCGCATGCGTGAGGCTGGCTTGCATTACCAGCCGCAGCGAGGTACGCTGCAACACCATTTCAGGCTGCCTCCTCTCCGCAACACCCAAGCCCGAGCTCAACGATGAGCACACCTGTAGACAGGGGAGGGCGGTCAGCTGCTTTTGGGAAACTCTTAGTTTGACTCTTTACCTACATTGCTGCTCGCTTCTGTCCTAGATTAAGGCCAGGGAGCAACCGTTATACTTGGCAGCACCGCATGGTTCAGCGGGCCAGGTGCGAGCATGGACTCCAATCCCCACACGGGTGGCCCCAAGCATTGCTGAAATAAAATAAAATCAAGTAAAACCCATTCCCTTTTCGGTAACAAGGTCTCTTTCAGTTTCAACTGTTTCCTTTCAGAAAAGTGGAGATTATGATCCGCTCACAGACCGGGGGTCGACGCACGGTTTGGCGCCTCACCAAGCAGAAGCCAGCTCTATTTCGCCATCCAATAGGGGAGAAAGTGCACTCTCGCCAGAACTAATTCAGGAGGAATGCCTCCGGCTGTGCCGTCCTATGCGATATGATGAGCGCCCGGACGCAGGGGCCGTGGAAGAGTTCCTTAGTTCCGTATACTTGTACCTTCGCTTACAAAATGCCCGTGAATAAAAGGGGTTGCACAGCGGTGGTGGCTACATTTCAGCGAAGGCTCTACCCTTCGGGAGAGCGTCAGGTCCATGCGTACCTTCCAGGATACGCTACGCTGCTGGTTCATCCGGATGTCTGCACGTGAGCAGGCCATGGAGGAACTGAGAAAACGTAAGCAAGGGGAGGTTTCAATAGAGCGTTACACGGTGAAATATCAGTTTTTGGTAAACTGAAGCCCTATGGATGATCCTCAACTGCCCTATAATGCGTTTACACCCGGGCTGTCCTCCGGAAACGGTCAATCAGTAACCCGCTGGGCTAGGGACGGGCAAATGAGGGGTGGAGTGGAACTCGCTAACAAGATGTAGTGCCTTCGCAGAAAAAAAAATGTCGCTTCCACAGCCTACGCCGAAAAGGAAGAAAGCGGGTCTGGGAATGATAATGATTTGGAGCCTATGGATATTGGGGCTGTGAGCGCCAGAGCAGCCAAAAGGGGGCGAGCCCGAAGGAGTAACCGAGAGCAGAGTGAACTCAACCCCCCGAAAGCAAAAGGGAGATGCTTAACGGCTCACTCGCACCTTTTGCAATAGAGAGGGTCACGTATTTCGAGATCTTTGGCGTATGAAACAGGCAAGGGAGCAATTGAAACCAAATATCGAACGGCGCCGATAAGGGAACAAACATATCAATCAGGGAAACTCCCCAGCCCCCATGTAACGTGCGGCGCAGTGATGGAGCCACAAGAGATAACGGCCGCAGCCGCAGATTCACCACGACTCAGCTCGGTGCTTGTACAGGGATGCATTAAACGGCAGGATTTACTAGCCCTACTAGATGCGCGATGCGAACTGGAATGGATGTCGGAAGCCACAACAAGGAGGTGCAGCCTACTCATCTACTCATTGGCGCCATCTCTGAGGCTACGCTTCGCGGAAGGCAGGCAGGATACAAGGATCGGCAACACTATGGGCGCAAAATGCTCTGTTACTTCCAAAACGGGACGCAGTATTGTGACGAGGGTCTTCTACGTTGGATCAGTTCACCACGAGATAATCCTAGGCATGCCATGACTGACCCAGTGAAAGGCGCAAATGCGTTCCTCCGATAATGCCATAGAGGTCTTTCCACCAGGAAGTGATGAGACTGTGCACNCAAATGCGTTCCTCCGATAATGCCATAGAGGTCTTTCCACCAGGAAGTGATGAGACTGTGCACCGCCCAGTGCTCCCTGCAGCACTTGCATCTTCTCTGGTCAGAAGAGTAGAAACTGCGTCCAGGGGAAAGGCGAGCGAAGACGCTCCCATGCAGAGCAAAAGCACTGGGGGGAAATCCGGAGATATGCATGCAGTCCGTGTGAGAAACTCCCCTACAGGTGAGTTTGGGCCCTTAGGGATCATATGGCCCTTGGATGTTGATCCCACTCTCGGCAATGGATTCACCAAGCAATGCCCGAAGCTATGCGTCTTGTACCCCCAACGAAAAGACAAAGACAGGCGACAACCCTGCTGCGAGACCTAGTAGGCATCCAAGTTCCCTCACAAGATGGGCTGTTGCGAATCCATAACAACGGTGGTCCTGCGGGCCCAGGAAGCTGATGATATGTGGTGTGAGCCCTCAGTCCATCACATGCTATGCCGAGACATTTTCACGATAATAGGGAATATTACTCTTTCACATAATATTTTTCAATAAACATGTGATATCAGTGGGCTGTTGTTTTGAAAGACCACTGTGGGACGCATCCGTTCAACCCCACAGCTGCGTATAACGAGCCGGCAGGAGTACGTTAACTGACACTCTCAAGTAAACTGCTAAAGACTCTCAGACATCTTATCTGATACAGCAAACTAACAGAGCTGACAAAGCTTTAAGAAGGTTCTTATCTCTTCTTTCTCAAAATTGTTCTGTTCTGCAACCCCACTAGACCGGGCACTGCGGCATTTGGGACTGGGAAAGGAGACGGCCGGGCGTGTTGCATCACTTTTTGAACCAAGCCTAATGCCTGCCTCTCCTGTAATCATATCAATAGGTCTCTTCGTAAACAATGTGTAATACATTCATCATTTATTTACTCAATAGACATCAATAAGCACTCACAGACGCTTCCACAGTTCCATGAACAGTCACTCTTACACAACGACAACGGCAATGTTGCCGTGATTGTAGTGTGTATTCACTATACTTCGTCTTTATGGTCAGGTAAATGCAGCACTCTTGATGGATTCGATCCAGCTAATACCCTACGAACAGCAGAAGTTGGTAAAATTAGAGGAAGGGTTGTCAAATGCACCCAATAGTAAAGAGCTACCGGCGGGCAGGCCACCCGCGGGAGGCTCAATGCACCACATCCAGCACATTCCCAGGGCAGCCCCAAACTTCGTTCCAAGGTACTGGCGACCCACATCTGGAGGAGGAAATTGAGCGGAAGGCGGATGAACTTCTAAGAAAGGGCAAGGTTCAGTCATCAAGTAGCGCCTTTGGGCACAATCCGGTGTTGACGGAGAAGAAGGACGGCACATGGCGCGTGTGAGGCGACCTCAATCCCCTCAACAAAAGCGAAGTGAAACAGACTTTTTCGATGCGCAGAATCGACGAAAACCGTGACTGTTTACATGGCTCAGCGGTATATCCAGCATTTGACTTCGCCGAAGCATTTTTGCAGATCCCAATTCATCCGGCGGACAGGCACAAGACGGCGTTCCGCACCCGCACTCGCAAGCTGGAGTATCCTTGTACGCCCTTTGGCCTTGTGAATGATGCCCGCTGAACTGCAGCGGCAGGTCTTGGCGGCCAATCGCTGAGGGGTGGATGGTCATATACACGGATGATGTGCTTGTGTTCAGCCGAAGTGTGCAGGAGCACTTGCAGCACCCCATGTGGGCTCTGCAACTACTACGTGAGAAGGAATGGCTCGTGAATACGCAGACGTGTTCGCTTTTCATGCGAACAAACAGTTTCTTAGGATTTCGTGTCTCTGCAGCAGGGGTTGAACCAAATCCAGCTATGATCGAGGCGATACAGAGGTGGCCGCTACCGCTGTACCCCCTGACGGACGTTCGTCGGGCTCGCCTCACACTACTGCAATTTCATTGCTGCCTCTTTAATTGATCTGCTTAAGAAGGAGAAGCAGTCCTTTTGGATGAAGCCGCCCGAAGCCTCATCGGGCACCTGCAATCATCACCGGTGCTCGCGTTCCCTGATTTCGACAAATCCGTTTCCTCATGACCGATGCCAGAGACATTGCAGGCGGGATTATGCCGTCGCAGCAGGCTAATGGATTGGAAAAGCACCAAATAGTTGCTTGTTACTCACATAGTTTTCACAGAGAGGGAGCAAAAGTATCCGGTACGGCAGACGGAGCCTATGCAGTCCAGTAGGGTGTAAAAATATGTCAACATTGCCTATATGACAGCCACTTTACTGCTCAAACCAGTCAGCAGCCACACCTGAGGAAGAGTTTCCAAGACTATGACACCGAAAGATTTGTGCGGCGGCTCTCCTGGATAACGCAGTATGACTTCACTGTCAAGTTTGTGATGTGTTTCGCCAACGTTGTAACTGGCGCATTGCCCAGAAGCTCTACATGTCAGGCATAGTGTTCCCCAACTGGAGTTTTCTCTGGTGATTCTCATATTATCTCCAAATTGTGTTCTTCTTATTGCTTACATACTCATGCGGCTGCGGTCCTAGCTAAGCTCAACAATGGGCGACGCGCCAAGCACAACAGCATCCGTGGCGACCTCCTGTGGTTCCAAACGAAGCGTGGAGTTCGCACATCATGCGTTCGGGCTTCGCTTCTTAGGGGCGTCTTGCGCAAAATGCATGACCATGCTTAAGCAAGTCATGGTGGGGTCAATACAACAGTGGAGCGTGTTGCCAGGTCCCTCTGGTGGCGTAGGATGCGCCCCTCAGTCGAGGGTTACGTCCTCTCTTGTCCTGATCGCCAGCAGCAAAAACCGCAAAACTCCCTTAAACATGGGCTCCGGCACAGCCTGCCTATTCGCGATATGATCTGGACGGACATCTCCATGAATTTCACAGTGCGCTTACCACCCGTCAGAGGCCATGATAGTATCTATCTCGTGGTGGATCGGCTTAGCAAATGCGCTCATTTTATTCCATGCTTGACCGCAGTCACAGCAGAAGGACTGGTCCAGATATTCATTAATCATGTGTGGAAGCTCCACGAGTTCCCAAAAAGCATCATTACTGACAGGGATCCGAAGTTCGTTAACGCCTTCTGTCGCAGCCTCATGCAAAGGCTCAACATTGACCACAGCGCGACCACCGCCAACCATCCGGAGGCAGACGGCCAGACTGAACGAACTAACTGCACGCTGGTGCAGTATTTGCGAGTTTACACCCAACAGAACTCATCTAACTGGCTCGATTTTCTTGCTTGTGCAGGATGGGTTTATAATACTACAGTGCACTCGTCCAATCGGTGCTCCCCGGCGTCCCTGGTCTAAACAGATACTCCACTCGTTGACCCGCCCCTGGATCTCGCCTGTGGAAGCCAGCCCCGAACGACCGCGGCTTCTGACCTCGGCACACAGCTTGCAGCACCGAGGAAATGCATGAGAAATGCACGGGAACGCCAAGTCAGAAACTACGACAAAAGACGTTCAGCGGTTAGTTTTAACTCGGGCGACTTGGTTCTAGCCAATTCGCAAGCGCTTTGTAGCGTGCACGAGGGCGAGCAACCCAAACACTTCGCAACACGATGGGTTAGACAGTTTGCGGTCCGCTCTCGGGTCAACGCGTTGGCGTACATCATTAATTCACCCTCAAGGTGGAGATGGCATCACAAATATTCACTTGGGTTTCCTAAAACCGTTTCGGGAATCTGTGCGGTTCCCTCGCACTCTGGTGGGGAATCATCAGCAACGTCATCGCGAGCAGCCGCCCATAGAGGATACAGAGAGCTACAGGCGTGGGTTGACACTCGCAGAAGCCATCGGAAACGCCAGTACTACGTAAAATGGCCAGGCATCCGTGAGCGTGAGTGGATTTCGGAAGGTCGCTTACGGGAGGCGATGCCCCCAGAACAGCTACGCGTTCTACTTGACCCTGCGCCGCCTACAGCCAGTGTGCGCATGCAAGCTGGTCAAGGAAGCGGACAACGGACCGTTAGCTAGCAATGGACCTCGGGCCAGGTCTCTGCAAACTTTCGTACTTTTGTACTCCGATGTTCCACGTTGTCTCAGTATTTTTCCTTTCTGCCTTGGTCACCGCGAGCTAGGTGGGAGGGGGGTCCGCTAGACTAGTTCTACTCTTATCTACGAGGGCTGTGCAGTCTGGAGCATTCCTGGGGCTTTCCCAGGAGGTCCAGTTGCCTGCAGGAAGTCGTAACGGGAGGGGAGGTCCGGATAGGAAGCCAACCAAAAAGCAACTAGGAGACATATCTGCAAAACAGCAGCCGTAGGAAAGCAGCTGCCTTAGCACGCCACGACACAGCGGCGGCGGCGGGAGCGGCGTCAGGCGTCACTACTGCTAGCCAAGCATGGAGGACCTGGTCGGGCCGGCATAGCAGGAGTTCCACTCTGAAGTCTCGGCTATTCCGCTTAATTTAGACTTACTTACCAAGTGCTCTACGTTTACACGGACTGCCCTAGCGAGCCAGCGTGTTCAGCCGGTGCCGAGACACCGGCGTGGGGGAGGGCTGATGAGCGCATCATGGCTCACCTTTCGAGTCAGATGGGGCAACCGATGCTTTGAATACACTCATCCAGAGAAACAACTCTATACTGAAGGGATATGCGGCCCCATTTTAACCGTTTTCCTACAGTATCATCACCAGGTCGGCCATCAGCGATGCGAACAGCAGCAGCCGTAGCAGCAGTGCCAGGAGCAGCCGCTCAAGCAGCCGCCCTCCACGATCAACATGGCCACCTGCGCACGAGGGAGTGCGCTGTTTCTCCGAGGCGGGGATGTATGCAGCATGAGTTAGCGCAGGAGCTTTCACTTGGCCTTGGTAGGTTGCGTGCAAACTCCTGCAAACGTTCTACAAGTACGTTCAGAGGTAATGCAGGCAGCAAATGAAGTTTCACTGAAGCTTCCTTGGTTGCATCCGTGGGGTTCGCTTGTATTCCCAGCCGCACCGAGGTGCAATGCAACCCCATTTCTGAGTGCCTCCTCCCCGCATCCCCCGGGCCCTGAGCTCAACGCCCAGGACACCCAAGGAAAGGGGAAGGATGTCAGCTGCTTGTGTGAAAGTCTTACTTTAAGTCTTTACCTAGATTGCAGCACGCTTTTGTCCTAGATGAATGGCAGCGAGCAACCGTTTTAATACTGTACATAAAGTCTGTTACCTATATACGAACGTAGCATACATACATACATACATACATACATACATATATATATATATATATATATATATATATATATATATATACATATACATATATATATATATATATATATATACAGACCTCCACAGGCCATCGAAACCCTAAACCATAAACTTTAAACTCTAAAACACTATCCCTAAACCCTAAATTTAACGAGGTGACTTTCGCTGGTGTTTTGTTCATTTTTGTTATTTACTTCAGTTTTCCAGAAATACCAAACACGAATATGCAAAAGCCAAAGCTCTAAACCCTAAAAAGTAAACCCTAAACCCTAAACCCTAAACCCTAAACCCCAAACTATGAACCCATACAGGCAAACACATGCTATGGCAACTCTAAGCCCTAAAACCAGTGAAGACAGCGAGAAGTAGAGGCCTAGGCCCTAAACCCTTAACCCTAAACCCTAAACCCTTAACCCTAAACCCTAAACCCTAAACTATAAACCCTAAATATTAAACCCCAAACCCTAAACCCTAGAGCCTAGACCACTGGAGGGCGTATGCTGGAACTTCTCTTGCTGGCAGCGGGAGGACCCGGCCCCCCCCCTAAACCCTCAAGCCTAAAGCCTAGAGCCAAAACCCTAAACCCTAATTAAAATAAGAATTTGTTAATTTAGGACTCAACAAAAGTAATTAGGGTTTAGGGTTTAGGGTCTGTGCAGCAGACAGTTCGTCAGTGCTTGATGCTTAGCGGCTTCTTATCGACTAAACCCTAAACCCTAAACCCTAAACCCTCATCCGTACTTCTTTCTTCTCAGGGGGACATTATTGAGTCTTTTATGGTTTTTTATTGTTTTATAACATTCATTATGCATTTGTTTATTAACTAAGGGGAGCGCTGCTCCATCTGCTGCTGCTGCTGCTGCCGTTGTTGCTGCTGTCTATCTACACCGCAGGGAGGTCAGGGTGTAACGACACCTCATCACTAAGCTGGTGGCGGCTGCATCAGCTTTTAATAGTTTATTTGCTGCCTCTCAACCACTCAGAAACCCCAGCTTCGTCATGTCTGCTGCTGCTGCTGCTGGGCAGCAGCAGCAGCAGCACAAGCAACAGCGGGGGAGCCGTCGGCAGCAACAGCCGCAGCCGCGGCAGCAGCAGCAACAACACCTCCAACCCAGTCGCCAATGGTAGCTGGAGCTGAGGCTCCAGAAGGCAGCAGCAGCGGCAACCCCTGGCTGCCGCTGCAGCAGCAAGAGCAGCAGCAGTCAACGGAGCAGCAGCAGCCAGCAACACAACAGCAGCAGGAGCAGCAGGATCTGCCTGCACAGCAGCCCCAAAGTCCCCCAGGAACACCGCATCAGCAGGAGCAGGAGCATCAGCAGCAGCAGCAGCAGCATCAGGAGCAACAGCAGCAGCGGCAACAGCAGCAGCAACAGCCGCAGCAGCGACAGCAGCAGCAGCAGCACGAAGGAGTGAGCCGCAGCAGTAGCAATACCATAGACTACCCAATCCGCTTTCCTTCTGACCAGAGTTCAATCGCCGCCTCCCCCCGCGGCTCTAGAGAAGGAAGAACTGTCTGGGAGCTGCTGCAGCAGCAGCACCAGCAGCAGCAACAGCAGCAGCACCAGCAGCAGCAGCAGCACGGCCGCCAAGCCGAGCAGCAGAAAATTACAGCAGCGGCAGCAGCAGCAGCAGCTTCTGATTCCGAACATCAGCCCCTTCCTCCTATTCCTTCCTTTCCTTCTTCACCGCGCCAACAAAACTCTGCAGCCGCACAGAAGCAGCAGCAGCAACAGCAACAGCAACAGCAGCAGCAGTTGCTGCTGCAACGCGAAGCGGAAGAGCAGAAGGAGCAGCAGCAGCAGCAGCAGCAGCAGCCATGGGCGAGCAGCCCCTTTGTTGAGGCCTATCCCTCGCCTGTGTCGGATGCTCATAGAGTCACAACAGCAAGAGAAGGACACCCACAGCAGCAGCAGCAGCAGCAGCAGCAGCAGCAGCGGGAGGAGGAGGAGGAGGAGCAGCAGCAGCAGCACCAGCAGCAGCTGGTGGTGCAGGGTGAGGCGCCCGTCTCCTCGGTAAGAATTTTTTGTCTCCCTTTGTCTCCTTTTCCGTTTCAGCTGTCTCTTCCCTAGCTCTATCACATGCAGCTTGCAGCAACAGCAGCAGCAGCAACAGCAGCAGCAGCAGCAGCAGCAGCAGCAGCAGCAGCAGCAACAAAAACACTAGCAGCAACACTAGCAGCAACAGCATCAGGTTTTTCTGTTTTTTGGTTTTGTGCTTAGGGCGATGAGGCAGCAGACAAGAAGGAGCAGCAGCAGCCGTCCTCAACAGCAAATAGCAGCAGCGAGAGTAGCAGCAACAGCAACAGTAGTAGCAACAGCAGCAGGAGAAACAGCAGCAGCAGCAGCAGCAGCTGCAGCAGCAGCAACAGCAGCAGCGGGGAAGTAGAGAGGCCAAGCCCCCACTCCGCCCCCCACCCCGTCCTTCTATCGTTTACATTTCCTCGCAGTGACAGTGAACAGCAGCAGCAGCAGCAGCGACAGCAGCAGCAGCAGCAGCAACAGCGTCAGCGGCAGCGTCGTAGCCCTTTCTGGGCCCCTTCTGCAGCAGCAGCAGCAGCAGCGGCTGCTGCTCCTGCTGCTGCTGCTGCTGAATTCCCCCATCGGCAGCGCTCTACCAGTTTAGAGGCCCCCAGTAGACATACCTGGCGGAACCCCCGACAGCAGCAGCACAAGCTGCAGCAGCAGCAGCAGCAGCAGCAGCAGCAAAAACTGCAGCAGCAGCAGCAGCAGCAGGTGTGGAAACGATGGCAGCCGCCACCGCCTCCAGCTGTGCCCTTTCCCGGCAGCAGCTGCACGCTTGCTGCTTCTCCTTGGAGCAGCAGCAGCAGCAGCAGCAGCAGCAGCATCAGAAGCAGCAGCAACAGCAGCAACAGTAGCAACAGCAAAAACAGCAGCAGAAGCGCAGCAGTGCTGCAGCAGGGGACGGAAGCGTTTGCTGCTTCGGCGGCGGTGCCACCTAGGAGAGAAAAAGCACCGGAAGCAGCAGCAGCAGCAGCAGCAGCAGCAGCAAGTACAGTAGATAGGGAAGGCGTGCAGCAACGCCAGCAGCAGCAGCAGCAACAGCAACAGCAGCAACAGCAGCAGCGGGAGCAGCAGGAAGATGACACGTCACCATCTGCAGCAGCGAAAGCAGGAGCAGGGAAAGCTTCACACCGCAGCAGCGGAAGCAGTTTGCTGCTGAACAGCGAAGCGTTTGCTGCTGCTGCTGCTGCTGATGATGATGAGAATGATGTTTGTGATGCTGCTGCTGCCGATGCTGCTGCTGCTGCTGCTGCAACATCTGTGGAGGGGGGAGAGAGAGAGACAGAGACGAATGCCCCCCCCCAACACAGCGAAGCGTCAGAGTCTGCATCTGCTGCTGATGTGTCGGTGCATAAGCACGTGAAGTGCAGCAGCAGCAGCAGCAGCAGTAGTAGCAGCAGCAGCAGCAGCAGCAGCAGCAGCAACAGCAGCAGAAACAGCATGGATGCACACGCTTCGGATGTTAATTGGAGAATGTGCGATGACTCTGCAGCAGCAGCAGCAACAGCAGCAACAGCAGCAACAGCAGCAGCGAAGGGAGTCTCTGCTGCTGCTACTGCAATGCAGGGTGGTGGTGCAGCGGCAGGCGCGAGGCAGCAACAGCAGCAGCAACAACAACAGCAGCAGCAGCAGGAGCAGCATTCGTGGCGCTACAGCTTAGGAGCAGCCGAGACTGCAGCAAGCTCTGTCTGTACACCTGAGGCAGCAGCAGCAGCAGCAGCAAGAGTTGCGGTGTCTGCACAGCAACTGCTGCTGTCTGCAAGCCCCTCCCCTGTGGATGCATGCAAATTCAGCTGCCGGGAGTTTTTGCTGCAGCACCCGCAGCAGCAAACAGCTGAAGCAGGTGCAGCAACAACAGCAGCAGATGCTGCGCAGCTGCAACTTCTGCTGCAGCAGCTGGAGCAGCAGATCCCGCCGGAGAAACTGCTGCCGCACCTGCTGCTGTGGTATCGAGAGGCAAGCAGCAGCAGCAGGAACAGCAGGAGCAGCAGCAGCAACAGCAGCAGCAGCGGCAGCAACGGCAGCAGCGGCAGCAGCAATTTGCTGCAGTTTGCGAAGACCCAAAGCGGAAGCCGGGACAGTGGAAAGCAGCCCGGAGCAGCAGCAGCAGCAGCAGCAGCAGCAGGAGCAGCAGCAGCAAAGATTGCTGCTGCTGAGTTGCTGCTGCTGTCTGCCCGTCGCAGCGCGGAGAAGATGTCTGCTGCTGCTGTCGAAGCATCTATCTTTTTCTGTCTTTCTTCTCTCTTTCCCTCACCCCAGTCAACAGAAGAAGATGAAGAACTTTTTCAATTCTTTGCTGCTGTGCTGCGCTGCATCAGCAGCAGCAGCAGCAGCATCAGCAGCAGCAGCAGCAGCAGCTGCAACAGCGGCAGCAACGGCAGCACAGGCAGCAGCAAAAGCGCCGCGGCAGCAGATGCACCAGCTGCAGCAGCAACAGCAGCAACAGCAGCGGCAGACTCGGTGGCATCCCTGTCACCCTCCGACGCAGCAGCAGCAGGAGCAACACCAGCAGCAGCAACAGCAACAGCAGCAGCAGCAGCAGCAGCAGCAGCAGAGAGATGTAGAGCATGCATAGCAGGGTTTGAGTTGTATTTGTCTCGGCAGCGATTTCATCTGCCGCTGCCGCTGCTGCCTCCTTCTTACCTTCGGTCGCAGCTGCTGCTGCTGTGGCGTTCATCTGCTGCAGCAGCAGCAGCAGCAGCAGCAGCAGCAACAGCAGCAAAACCCCAAACGCGAATCGCCTGTCTTTTCAACTGGCTTGCTGCACCAGACCTGGTTAGCCATATACAAACCCTAAACCCTAAACCCTAGACCCTAAACCCTAGAAACCCTAAACCCTCTGGAGCCCTACACCATGAACCCTAAACCCTAATTTCTCATCCGCACGAGCACAAACCCTAAACCCTAAACCCTAAACCCTAAACAACTTCTCTCGGGTTTTGTTGAATTGTATATTTCTTTTGCATGCGTTTGCTGCTCTCTTTACAGCCCCCCTGGGATAGGCCGTTGCTGCAGAGCCTTATAGCTGAATGTGCTGCTGCTTCTGGGCCTGCTGCTGTTGCTGCTGCTGCTGTTGCTGCTGCTCTCAACCAGCTGCAGCAGAGAAGAAGCTACTGCCCTCCTAGTGTATTCTACAGCCTACAAGACCTGCAGCAATCTGCTGCTGCAGCAGCTCTTCGGCATGTGCTCCAACTTGCGGGGTGAGCAGCAGCAGCAGCAGCAGCAACAGCAACAACTGCAGTAACAGCAGCAACAGCAGCAGCAGCAGTAGTAGTAGCATCAGCAGCAGCAGCGCTGCCTGCCCCTTGGTGTTGTTCTTTAGAATTTTGCCTCTGCTGCGTTTGTTCCGACGCTTCTTGCTGCAGCAGCAGCAGCAGCTGCTGCTGCTGCTGCTTTTGGTGCGGGTGCTGCTGCTGCTGCCTGTACTATTGCTGCTGCTGCTGGTGCTATAACTATTGCTGCAGCTGCTGCTGTTGTTCTGTTTCTCTGCAGGGTTAAGAGGGGCCAGTTGCTGACGCTCTTTCTGCTGCTGTGGTTGGCATCCTTGAGAGCTATTCTAGACAACAGCAGCAGCAGCAACAGCAGCAGCAGCAGCAACAGCTGCAGCAGCAGCAGCAGAGGCAGCGGCCCCCGAGGTCTTGCTGGCTGTCTGATGATGCTGCGCTGTTTGCTGCAGGTTGCCTCTGAGGGTGTAGACCCTGCTGCTGCTGCTGCTGCTG